AAAAAAAAAACACAAAAAAAACAATTTACATAAATATCTTCTGCCGGACATGTGTATTTATTTAACTGGATGGGAAGCAACATCTAGTCCAGAATATTAATCATCAAAAATGCAGTTTATCGTAATATATTTGTGTACTCCCTTATGTGAGTTATCAATTCTCAAACTATCTTTATAGACTTGCAGCAGAATATATCCAATATGTGCTAATAAAGGCATTTTTTTTTCTTTTGGATAGAGTAGGAAAGGGTTACAATCCATGTCAGATCGTGTTCCCACTGGGGAGATCCCCCCTCTCTATTTGTCCTGGGAACAGTTCAGTTAGTCTGAGTGAAGGAAAGTACCGTGTAAACTTCAGGCCGCCTATTATTGTAGCCTACACAGGGCTATGTACTCCCCATGACTGGTCCAGTGCTGTAACAATTGGTGACTCACATGCTCCTCCCCACCTGGAAGTTCTGGTCATTTCTTTCGGATCCTGTCGCTGAACAGAGCAGCAAGAGAATGAAGGAAATGTAGGTATATGCTGCTGGGGATGAGGAGCAAAACAAACCTGGTGCTTTGTCCTTAAATGCCAGAACACAGGTTTGCTTTAAGTTAAAGAAAAAGAAGAAACTTGAATAAAGGACAATAAAACCACATTAGATATTGTACATTAGCTTAGGTGAAATACTCAAAAAAACAAGGTTATTTAAGGTTTAGGTTACAAATATGGTATTTATCCATGATACACACAGACTTAATTAGAAACAATTGTTCCATTTCCCTCTTACTACAAAATACTTTCTATAAAAACACTAGGGAGCATGCTGCACACCTTTCTTTCGCTCCATTATATGGCGTTCCAAAGGAACAGAGCGAGAGTGTTTACCAAAGACAAAGGATTTCTGTGCAGAGGGACGGCTGCGTCTTTGATTGTGGCCTATCATTATTCTTTTTTATGCCGTGTTTACACACAAAGTACAAGAGAGGATAGTCTTTCACTGTTTGCATTCACATTTAACAGCAGGCTCATAAAATACAGTAGGAAAATACAGATACGAGCATCTTCTCCTGTGGCTAAAGGGGCTTTACCCGCAAGTTCCTGTGTGGCCTAAGAGCTTTACAAATGTTTCCCCTACTAGAAAGGAGTTAATAAACAAAGTGGAACATGCAAGTGAAAAATCACCCTCAAAAACATAAAACAAGAAGTAGAGTCCAGTTTGCTGCATCTTACAAATAATGCTGTGTGACCTAAATTTTCTGTACCTGTTGGAGACAGATTTTCTCTTGCGTCCTTCATTTGTTGTAATCTTTTTTCCATTGCATTAGACCGATCTGCAATAACCGCCACTGGGCTAAACAATAATGACCCTTCATCATCAAAAGACAGAGTGGGGACATCTGTGGAAGAAAGAACACCACTCTGTCACACAGTATATGAACACTGCAAGCTTAAAATTCTATATTATGAAAGTATAAAAGGTACAGAGTTACATATGGGAAGAGTACTCAAAACTACTACGTAAAAGTAAACATTAGAAAAATGATTTCTGTACAACTATTTTAGGTTGAATAAATGCTGTACTTGCTAAGTGTTTACAAGCAGAAAAGCATTTTCAATCCACTAAGCCAGTGGTTCTTAACCTGTGGGTCGCTGTGCAAGGTGAGAGTCCTCCTCAGCTCTCGCCTAGCGCAGCAGTGTCAGTTCTCCTGCCAAGCCTCCAGATGTGGCTGCAGCAGCCGCGTCATCCCTAAATTTTACCTTTGGGGGTCACCACAACTTGACAAATGTTACCAAGGGTTCCCGGCCCTAGAAAGGTTGAGAACCACTGCACTAAGCCTTAGTGCTGAATACATTTACTACAATTGTGAATTTCTTACAAATTGCAGACAATTAAAACATCTTGGTACCAATTACTTTGGTACCATTACTTTCTCTACCTTTTTTTATGTTCTCTCTTTCCAATTCTACAAACATCAAACAATTTCATTTTTCCAATTCTACAAACATCAAGCGCTTTCATTTTTCAAAATGTGTGCCACCAAGGTGCACTTGTTCCAGTTCATCTTTAGTGCTACTGATTTTTTTTTGCATTTACATTGTTTTAAAATAAATTAAGTCTCCTTCGGGGTAAACAAATAGAAATCATGTTGTAAGTGGATCTACAGGTAATAAAATCTCTGACTTACCAGACCACACCCTCTACGTATTTTTCTTATTCTCTATAACATGGTAGGCAAGGTTGAATAAAGACACAGGTCCATCTAGTTCATCATGAGATTAAACCGCCTCTTTTCTAACCTCTTGTAGTGTCCTTGTGTCATCAATGGAGTTCTCAGTGTTAACATTTTATTCTGGGTATTGTGGTCCCCATTAACAATTTTGAAAATTGCAATTAGGTCCCCTCTTACGCACCTCATTTTTAAAAGGAGAATATGTTTATTTCTGGAGGCGATCTTCGTAACCCACTCCTTCCATTCCCTTTATTAATTTAATAGCCCTTCTCTGAACTCTCTCAAGTTTGAGGATGTCTTTCCTGAGGGTTGGTGACCAAAACTGAACTGCATACTCAAGGCAAGGCCGAACCAATGATTTATAAAGTGGAAAAATTATGGGTGGGGGGGATTCATCAAAATTGGAGCAGACAAAATCTGGAGCAGTTGTGCATGGCAACCAATCAGCTTCTCTTCAGTTTGGTCAGTTAAGATTTGAAAATGAAAGGGAGAAGCCGAGCTGCTTCAGATTTTGTCTGCTCCAGTTTTGATAAATTCCCGTTTTTATCCCTTGCCATAATCCTTCTTTTAACGCAGGACAGTATCCCGTTTGCTTTGCTGGCCACTGCTTGGTATTGCACGCTATTGCTGAATCTGTGATCTTTGAGGACCCCTAGGTCTTTCTCCATGTCCGACTTCCCCAGTGGGGCACCCTCAAAGTAGTTTACAAGTTTGCATGCACGTTCTTTGCTCCCATGTGCATAACATTAAATTTTTCAATATCAAATCGCATTTTCTATCTTGCAGCCCATGCCTCAATTTTATTTAGGTACTGTTGAAGTGAATTTATATCTTGCTGATCAATCGCTGCCCTACACAGTTTAGAATCATCTGCAAACACCAAGACTTATCTATTTATTCCAATCTCTATGTCGTTTATTAGTTAGATAAACAGGAACGGTCCCAGGACCAAACCCTGGGGCAGCCCAGTCACAATGTGCTCAATGTTGCCCAATTAGAAAATGAACCATTTATTACTACACTCCGGATTCGTTTGTGCAGCCAGTTTTCCACCCATTTGCATAAAATGTAATCCAAACCAATAGACCTTAGTTTATTAAACATTTGTGGGGGGAATGTATCAAACACTTTAGCAAGTCAAGATACACCATGTCTATTGGTATTCCCCTGTCTAAATTAATACTGACTTCCTCATAGAATGTTAATACAAATGCTAACAAAAATGGTCCTTCATGAATCCATGCTGGTTGCTACTTATTACACCATTTTCATAGGCAAATTCCTGCATATAGTCCTTTATCATTCCTTCAAATATTTTGCACACTATTGATGTTAAGCTCAGTTGTATAGCACTAAGCCAATCCATCATTTTATCAGATTTAAATTGATCCACACAATATAATCTTTTATTGTGAGACTTAAGAGTTCTGAGAGTAGAAACACTATGGGGTAATACAAAGATGGTCATGCCATTTTTGGATTGCTTTGGGTAACATCCAATGTTTTCTTATCAACAGACTGATTTTAATGGCCATGGGGGGATAACTAAATAAAATGTGTTCCTATTTCTCCTGTTTCTGATTAATAGTTATTCCCTAGCTTTTGAGCTGTCTATTGCTTCCTCACATACATTTTTATCATGCTCTATGTAGTAACATTCCCTTTAATGAACTTGTACTAAGAACTCATCATATTTGTAATTACTTTGTTATAATCTTAAAAAAACAGTAGAAATTGATCAAAGGGTTTATGATCTGTTATTTGTTTAGGGTGCTGGCTTGTGTGCTTGAAGTGTTTAGTAACAGCTTCCTGAAAAGACTTCCTATTTAAATTAATTTATTAACATTAATGACATAGTGACCTCACTGCAATTTTAAAAAAAAAATCACTAAACTCAGCTGCCTAGAAAACAGCTCTCAAATGATTGTTTTCATCAATGATGTGCGCAAACTTCCAAGTTCAAGGCACAGGAGGGTTTACTCAAGTTAGTGCACATATGAAAAAGACAATCCATAGGAGCCAATAACAAAATCTTTTCATCTAAAAATTCTCTTTTATTTAGTTAATCACAGTAAAATCAAAACCGATTGGTGCCTGCTGCACTTTTTACCTCATCACTATTAATTGTTTTTTTTTTCTTACTAGATAGGCTGAGAATTCTGTAGTGAATCTTACCAACAGATGCCTTTTTCTCTTCAAGCTCTTTTAGCATTTTGTCATATTTTCTTGCAAGGCGCTTGTCATTTTCAGGTGTTTTTATCACCAAGTCCTTGGGCTGCATACACTTTCTCTGTTAAAGCAAGTGTAACAATAAAAATAACTATGGGAATAACATATTCAAAGTAAACCGCATAGTAGTGTACACGTTTTATAGAAATGCTATTAATGCATAGTATACTATTTGCTATATTCAGGTTTGCGCATCCAGGCTGAAAACACACAGACTGCACCAATTTTTTTTTTTTTTACACAAAACTTTTTCTTGCCAGTGCCCCTCAAGAGTGGAGGCCAGTGTGGATCCGGCAGTGTAGTCTGGATCTACCATTAATTGTTCCCCCTTTGTTGTGGTGTTATTGCTTCGCTGCAGTCTTTTGGAGCTTGTTATGTCTCCTGCTAATGGGCTGCCAATGGAAAGTCTCCAAATCATGGACTTGGCGCATCACGTGACCGAAAATTAAAGTAAAAGGAGCCATAACATCGCTTGTATATTAACGGGCATCGCTGCCTCTTTTCAAATAGCGGGGATTTCCCGCTCGCGCGCGGGCGGGCGGATGTAACAGGACGTGTATACACGCCCAGTTACATCCAAGAAGCTCCCGGCAGGCCGTGTATACACAGCGGCTGGCCGGGAGGTAGTTAAAGAAGACTTGCTTATAGTGCAAGGTCCATTCTAAAAATAATCCCCTCCCATATGCCAAAATGCAGCCAAAAAAAAAGACAAAGTTAATACATATGTATACCTATGCATTAGCTTGTGTACTGGAGTGGAGATAAATCTCCTTATGTGTACTGGAGCTGGACACAAGGAGGGGGGAGGGCAATGTGTCAATTTAGGTAAAATATAGAAACTGAAGCCAGCGCTGTAAACAGGCGCCGGTTCACAAGAAGGCTGCCGAGGTCCCCAGCAAGCAGGGGACCTCGGCAGCCTTCTGCGAACCGCAGAGCCTGATCTTTCCTTCATGAAACCATGCTGCCCGCACCCGTCCACGATACATTGATGTTCAATGCATTGCTGGGATTTGTAGTCTTCTATGGTCGGTTGCCATTCAGCATTGCTGTATAATGTATTGCTGAGTTCGGTAGTCCTATAAAGCCAGGACCATTTGGCATTGCTGTATAATATATTGCTGGGATTTGTAGGGCCCTGCACTACTTCACAATTGTCCTAAAATCATTAATTTGTTGCCTGTTAGATTTATTATATGGGGGGTGAGGGGCACTTCAGAATCCAGGACCAAAAAGGGTTCCTTGCAGCATAAATCTGCCAGTTCAGCCATACACCTAGCTAAGATGAAAGCAACAAGGAAAACATGAGTTGATTACCTGATAACTCTGTTTCCAGGAATCTTCCAGGACAGCCATCGAGATATAGGCTCCGCCTGCCTGCAACAGGAAACACAACCACCACATTAAATAAATAGACTCCTCCTTCCATCCCAAGTCAGTAACCTCTAGGACCGAAGGCTACCCCAGATATTCGGGGCACGTGCGAGCGCGTGCCCCCCTGCCTGTTTATGTATGCCACTGCCGCGGCGTTGTCCGAGGCCACGGCCACATGGTGCCCGGCTAACGTCTCCCGGAACTGGCAGAGGGCTAGCTCTATCGCCTTTAGCTCTCTCCAATTTGACGACTTGAGGTGGCTCCCCTGCTCCCAGCCAAATGGACTCCTGGCAGTGAGCACCCCAACCCCAGGCACTGGCATCCGTCGTGACCACAAGTGGTGTTGGCTGCGACCAAAGTCTGCTGACTGAGAGGTTCCGCCACTCCATCCACCACCGTAGTGAATGCTTGATTTCCTCTGTGATGCGGACCCCCTTGTCTAAGTCCTGTAGTCGACTTCCCCATACCCTCAACAGCCAATTTTGTAACGGCCGTGAGTGGAATTGTGCCCAGGTAACAGCTGGGATGGTAGACGTCATGAGACC